AGTTCCATGTTCAGCAGTAGATTGTTACGGATGAATAACTATATCTTCTCGCCACGTATACCTCAAAACTTAAAAACAAAAGTGTACAGTCAGTGTGTGTTACCATACATAGCATACGGATCTAAAACGAAGTCCTTCAGGGAAGGAAGCTCAATGTAGCTAAGCGCGCTAAAAAGAGGGCTATGTTCGGAGTTTCTATGCCTAATAGAGTTCGTTATGAGAATATCGGCAGTAGAACTAACATTACTGACATAGCGCAAGAGATGAGTGAACTGGCAAAAGGCCGTCAATATTGGATCAAGGGACCGACTAACGATAGGGAAGAACAAATCTCGGGTATATAAGGCATAAAACGATAATTAAATATATGGCAGTTTATAAGAAAGTAATAGAAGCTTCCCTACAGAGAAAATTTTACAAAATTGAACTGTAAAGAGGAAAAAGTTTTATATTCTACAAAAGAAGCGCCAAATGCCATTAAACCTAGAACACGTATTGCAGCACACTGAAAATTAGGTTCTAAATTTTATACTTAGGAAACTTCTTTTAGAAATAGGGGGACAAAAGACCGGAATGTGTTGTTTAAATCACGAAGGCAATTTAGTGCACCTTTAACATGTAATATTGCACACTTTTGACATGTTAAGTCCTATAGGAAGCGTTACAGTACTTTATAAATTTTTGACAACCTCCTTGGTCTAGTCTAGTAGCCATTAACGCGGCTGCTGATCATTTTGTGTGGTCCCGGCTTCGAATCCTGGGTCTTATTTTTTTTTCTGTTAAGAAATTCGCAGTAGCAGTCCAAAGTTAGGGAGTTTGCTCATTTGCTTTCGAAAACACGTAAAGAAGTTGGTCCTGCGCCTAATTTAACTCAGGTCGTGTAAGATTACCATTCTATCAGACTATGAGGGGTATTACGAGAGTGGGGGCATAAAGAATGCACAGGTGCTTATACCAAATACTAGGCACTAAAATCCTGTACTGCGCAGATGGTTAGTCTCGGTTGAGGCTGACCGCCGTGACCGTAAATTCAGTCAAATGCACATTATAACTATTTTATCATCATCATCATACGGCGATAGTCCATTGCTGGACCTTGTTTCAGCTAGCCTTTCCCAAGGCCCACAACTTACACTCAGCTTCATGGATCCAATTGCTATCAGCTACCTTTCGAAGATCGTCACACCATTTAGCCAGGGGTATCATAACTGCTTAATCATCATCATCAGCCTAAGGTAGTCCATTGCTGGACGTTGTTGCATCTAGCCTCTCCCAAAGCGCACCACTTAGCCTGAACTTCATGCATCCATTCCCTGCCAGCTATTTTTCGCAGATCGTCACTTCATCTATCCAGGGGGCGTCCCACACTGTATTTACCTAAACTTATTACTGTTTGGACCTTTGTAAATTAAAAAATTAAACGAGTTGACAAGGTTTTTGTTAAGACTGAAACGGGAATTGTAGTAATTTGGTTGATAAATAAAATTATAAAAATGACACTTCCTCGCTATTTATAAATGTATCAGAAAGTGATTCTATAATGAAACTGTTCAGCACTAAACATTGCAACGCATCCACACTGTGACCGCGGTAACAAAAATCACGTAACCCCATAGTTTTCCATAAAAATTAACCTCAACACAGAATACCAGCGTCAAATAGTAGCTTAATGCTGCTGTGTTTCGTATGATGAGTGTAGAGAACCGGATACCCGTTTTACTGGAAAAGAGGCATTCCACCATATATATATATATATATATATATATATATATATATGGCGTATACTCGTTTGCCTCCTCTTCTATATAAAAAAAGAAACTCTGATCAGCCTTGTGAGTCTGCTTCACTGGTATTGAAAGAACTCTCTCTCATCTCTTCATCGTCTTTGTCCGTCTGTTACCTTAGGTCTCCTGGTGGAGACATCCCGTATTTATCTAGTTTATGTATATATATAGTAGGGATATGGTATGATGGACTGCTAGGGATTTGAGGTATAAAAATTTAGATAGAGTCTGTGGGATTTAATACTCCTTCCTAATATATTCATATGCAGCCAGGTAGTTGAGCTATCGAAGGTTAATTAGGTCAATATTTAAACATAAAGCTACCTGACCAATGTCAAATGAAAGGGCTTTTTTAGGTCATATTGATGACGCATTTAAAAATCTTTTTTAATTTTACTATGTAGAAAAAGAAAACAAAATCGAATAGTTCACCCCGGCCCTTTCCTACAGTATAAAAGTATAATTTTTGACAATGCCCACCAAGACATTTTATTTATTTTTCCCCGCGGTAGTACTAACTTGCTTGGCAATAGCTGATAGTGTGGCAACATTTTAATACATACACACTGTACTAGAGCGTCTCTTGTTTTATTTGTGAGGAAAATTAAATGTTTAGAAAATGAATAAACACCTAAATTGATAGTTTTGAGTCTCCGATTATATCATAAACGTCATGATATTTTTCTGTTGTATAAAATAAAAATAAACGTTTTTGTATTTATAGTTCCGTTTTTAATCGAAAACAATCACTGAAAACTATAAACCATCACCGTGTCAACTTCGAAAAAAATATGAGACAAAGTCAGCACAGCCAAACCGATAGGGTTTTAGCCAATTTGTATGGAAAGATTATCTCCACAATTTGATACGATAAGCATACTAGCATTATATGATAATTTTCTAAAAACTCTAATTTTCTAAAGACTAGTGCAAAGTCGTTGTCGAGTAATTGGTTAAAATAGCTAAGAAATAACAAAGTGCGATGCGTTCAATTTCTATGCAAATACGGGGCACGTTTTGCCGCAGTTTGCAACTTCTGCAACCAACAAGACAGGAAAAGCTAGTAATATTTTACTTAAATTTATTTGTAACATCGTGAGTTGAAACTATAGAACGTTTAGTACATTTCGCAATTAGATATTTAAAAGAAGTATAATTTTAAATGGCAGTTATATTTACAAATATTTTTTTTTATTAATCCTTTGTAGGGCAGAATATTCTTGTTGAATTTTAATTTTTGGTATTGGGTTAGGATTAGGGGTATATAGGGACTGGAATTAGTGTGATATTCACTAGCTAATTTAATTGGGTTTGGATGCAGTGAGCGGTTCCATATGAGACCAAGACGATTAAGGAATAAACTTTAGTTGTTTTGTTTGAAACTGTGACCGTTTACGGAAAAAATTTAAATAAAACTAAAACATAATTTAATAGTTTTTAATTAAAATAAAAATATTTTTAATATTTTTATCTTAAAATTTTTTAAATTATTAATTATTTTGACTAAGTGTATCATAGTGATTACAAAAATGACTCTTTTGTGTCATAAAATTAAAAAAAGATATAGAAGATCTAAATAACTTAGAATTAAAAACTCTTCTAAAGATCTTCTATGAAAACTGCTATTTTTAAGTAAATTATTTTCATAGAATATTTATTATTTTAATAAAATATATTACTTGTATGAAATCAACAATAAGCCTTAGGACTCTAGTCCTAGGAATTATAATTTTTAGTTATCAATAGTCTTATAAAGCAATAGCCTTAGGAAATAAAAATCTCACAACAGTCTATGTAACAAACAAACTTAGTTTAAGAAACCTGTAACAGAGTAATCAGTCTTGCGGCCGTTAATCTCTTTGACATGTTCAAAGATAGTTCATCCTCAGGGTCTAAGTCCCGTCCAATATCTGAATTTTCGGCTTGGATGTCATCTAAGCCTCAATCAAACTGACTAGCTGATCGTAGAGCATGTGGTCTATATCTAATACTATTATAAACATCTAAAACGATCAGAAAATACATAACTGTGACAATTCAGTTAGTTTGCACCTAAGGCACAAACCTCACCGTTCTCCATACCTACACTATGACACATGATATCATCTTTGTGCAATAATATCTAAATAAACCAACTATTTTCGGGCATGAAGTGATAACTCCACTATGCAAAAGTTTAGTGTAATAACCTCAAATACGTAAAATAAGCAATCGAGAATCTGAAATATGCACATGTTCAATTTCTGAACTAGAAATCGGTTTCTACTACCTGTTGAGTTCAAATCGTTATTGTACTTTATAGATGCAAGTTATTGTTAAGATTTTTATAACAAATTGAAGGAAAGTAATTAAGTTTTATTTATAGGAGAGGAGGCAAACGAGCAAACCGTTCACCTGATGTTAAGTGACTATGGCCTCCCATGAACTGTAACACCAGGGGAATTGCAGGTGCGTTGGCGGCCTTTTAGAAGGGAGTAAGCTTCGGAAAATCGCCGGTGGTTAACTGTTCCGCAGAGTGGTCATACGCGGAAGAAAACTCCTAGTAAAACGTACAATGGTGAACCGCCAAGCATTCAGATGGTGGGGATGATATAGGGAGGCTTGCCGCGTAGTGCGTACATGAAATTTGGCGGCTGGGATTAATCTGAACAATTCCTCAGAGCACTCCCCATGACAGATGCAATAAATATGAAAATAGATGAAAAACATCTTCTCTCTCACACACACACACATACACGCAGCACGCACACGCACACACACCACACGCACACGCACACGCATACGCACACGCACACGCACATGCGCACGCGCGCACACGCGCACGCGCGCACATGCGCACACGCGCACACGCGCACACGCGCACATGAGCACACGCGCACACGCGCACACGCGCACACGCGCAAACTTGTGTCTTCGTTACCTGTGGCTTTGTAGCCAGAAAATCAGTCTCATTTATTTCATCGGCATTTTGAATTTCATCTACTTTTGTAAGTAAATAATATCGTAAAGTGAATTCTCTTCTTGAAGCAGTTTCAGTAGTAACACGACGTTTTGGAATTTTATCACAGTACTGATTGATGAAATTCCAATATCGAACTATCTCTCCCATCGACCAAAATGCCTTAAAAAGCAGGTTACGTTCAAAATCTGTAACTTTTTGTGAACATTTTAACTTACAATTTTCTCCACATGCTAGCCCCATCTCTTTCCCTTTCCTTAGTCTTCCATCCCTACCTTTATATGTTTTCCTAATTTTTTATTTGTCTTACGCTGAACATCCAACCATTGATCTCGATGGATCAATCGTAATCGACCTTTATCTTTTTTTCTTGTGATTTGCCTTTTCCTCGGTGGTGGTTCACTGTTGTGAAGAGCGTTTTCTGACGACTGGGTTTCTATTGGTACAGGGGAACTAACTGGCATGGGAACAAGTGGCATGGGAGCTGGTGAGTGAGCGCATTCTAACTGGGCAATTTCTTGAGCTATGAATGACGAGAAATTTGGTGACTCTATAGAAATATCATTTCTAATACCTGAACTGAAAGTGATCATCATAGGCGATTGTGGCATTATAGGTGCCAATGTGGGGTCATGAAAGCAGTCTTCTGACAAGACCACTGGTGCTTCACAACTTGTAGTTATTGAGAAATGGTTTATGGAACATTCTATGGCCTTAAGATCTCTTTCTTTAGCACTTGGTTCTTCATCACTGTCCTCGATCATTTCTGTTAATTTTTGCAAGTCTTCTTCAGTGAAATCTTTAGAGAAGGGTACTGGAGTATCTGAAAAACACCAAAATGCTGTAAGGTACTCGACTTTCTTCGATAATCCACACTATTTAATTAAAGTATAACTGTATAAGTGTACAGTTAAATATTTATAATCGAATAACATCCCAATGTAAAACAACATATGTGTTAGTTAACTGATTTCACCTCAACAAAATTTCATTGCATAAGTGTGTAAGTGCTAGATAGGATTTGCGATCAAACTGAATTCCATCGAATAAATGTGTAACTACGTAGTTGCATACTTGTGCATCGGGATTGAATAAAATGCGCGTAATGTAATTATTATGATAAATTTTGGATTCAGGACGTGTTCAGATATTTTCAGTATGGTAAAAAACCACAATTTAAGACAATTACATAGAAAATACACTTCAATCTTGATAAAATAATTAGAAAATACTACATACCTTGTCTTGACGGTGAGCATATTTGGTCTGATGACCTTATTTGTTCAGTAATCTTAAATGTTCGTCCTTTAATTGCATCTTCCTTCAGCGTATTTAAAAAAAATATAACGTTTACTCGACATCGCACAATATTATGCAGCGATTGCGCATGCCACTCGCAGTCCGCAGAAGAACTGAGGGAGGGGAAGTTACCTGCAACCGGCGCCCCGTTCCCCCCGCGTTAAAATATTTATTCGGAACTTAAATGGTTGTACGCTGTGTTTTTTTATTAGGCTTTGTAGATAAACAGTAATACGTTTATAAAAAAATATGTTGTAAAGAAAAAAACTTTAAAAAATTGTTGATATGATAAATACGGATATATAGATGCCAAAAATGCAATAAAAACCATTTAGTGTATCAGGCAGATACATACGTATACTTAGCGGGTATCGTGTATGAATTTGGACACATGTAATGTAGAATCGTGCTTTGTGACAATCCCTTGGGAAGGCCTAAGTTCAACAATGGACTAGTGAAAGACCGTCATGATGATGATGGTGACGGTGAATACATTATAAAATTGTGGTATATAATGAAATTTTATTTTTAAGTTTTGCGGAATTATTTACATTACTTAATACGAGTACGGTCAGTACATAATAAGGTAATTGCATCTAATAAGGGCCGGATTTTTGGAAATCCTTATAAATCAATTTAGGGAAGTGTGTTAATTTGTAAGACATCATGATCAAGTAAATTGTTTTTATTTGAAGAGAAAATATTGTACAAAAACAAAGCACCAATGGCCAATTACTTACAAAAAAAGTTTTTTAAAAGCTTGTCTATGGTCCTTATTGGGCACTAGGGCTCTAAATAAGGTCCATAATTGAACTGCAAGGTTTTAGGCGTTATATACCAGAAAAATTACATCTTTAGAAATCAGTGGCTTTAAACTACTATTAAGTTCGTAGCTTTCGAATAATGAAACGGAAATTTATATAAATTAGTATCGTGGCCCTTATAAAGTCTTAGGAAATGTATACGAGTTATAATTAATCTATTTTCTAGTTATAATTGAAACAAATTTTAGTTTTATGCTGATTTTTATTTACTCTAGTAAAGAAAATCACAAAATGTTACTAATCAGTCATTTATTCAGTCTTAGTCATTGGACCTTATTAGGTATTACACTTCTGTAATCATAGTCTGGACCTTATTAAGTGTTTGAAAATAACAAACATGGCAACCATTGCAGCTAAAGATTAAAAGATAAATATGCACATATATTCACAGTGTGTATTTACTTATCCTTATTATATATTTTTCTGTTTAAAATGTAATCAAAACAAGCGTATATAAATTAAAAAATGTCTATTTTAAAACTTCGTACCCCTAATAAGGTCCGGCCCTTCTTTGGAGACAACAAATGGACCTTGTTAGGCACTTAGATATGTACTGAGAAAACTAAAACAAAATCGAGATAAAAAAGCAATAATTTTGATAACTTACCCTGTCAATCCACGTTCTGAAAGTATTTTACACTACTATTGCAGAATTATTACAAAACGACCGGGTTTTATAACTAAAACAACGCAAAATTGAGTCACAATATTTTATAAATTGAGTCACGTCGACCGCCCCTGGGGTTAAACACAGAGCCACTGACAAAATGGTCACCGAGAAAACAATAAACGTCGGTGCGCTTTTGTGATTGGTTACTGGGAAGGGGCCGCGTGGTATCCGTTTTGTTTTAAGATAAGTAGGAGAAGTTTGAAAAGATGGACCTTATTTGGAATCGGCCCTTTTTAGGCGCACCTACCTTATAAAACATATTTCGATGTACGTAGGTTTTTCGACCTCTTTCTATACGCGTTCAATCGAATTAAGGGCAAAATATTTTCACTATCCACTCTAAGTGATAGATTTTCAGATAAATCCGTAACTATTGTTCATTGTATGAAACGGTTTTTAGTACAAAATATTCTTAGAATTTTTATCATAATCTATGAATTGTGGATTGAATGTTGTGGTTCTACATATTATAGTTTTCAATTATTTTTGTATCAACGGACATGCTTCGATTATATCCAATTTTACAAAATGTAATATAATGCATAAAAAAACCATTTATATTCTATATCTATTAATAAATAAACAATAATAATTTATTTATTTATTTATTCAATCTTTATTTGCACACCAAATACAAATAGGCGGACTTAATGTAACAGAACATTCTTTACCAGTCTACCCATATGCTAATCAGAGAGGATATTGTAGATGCAAATTGCGGTTAAAATATATTTGTTGACATAATATAACCATAACTACCGCTACACAATTAGATTTATATATATATATATATATATATATATATATATATATATATATATATAATATATAACACATGGCGCATACATAATTAAATATAGCATTTTCTGATTCAAACACCTATTTGTTCAGAATCATATATCTACACCGTAATAGCCTATTAAAATCCACTCCTAAACAGAGGCCTCTTTTGCCAGAGATGCTATGCTTGGCAAGCGCAGTTTTTTGTTTAATTTCAGTCGTTATGCGCTAATACTGCTGCCTATTTCCCGATTTGTTTCCCTCTTATGTGAGTCTCTTACGACACCCACGGGATGATATGGGATAATAGATATTCTTACACCGCCATTACACGATTTCTACACGGTACCACACGGATCCTATAATTAATAAAATTAAATCCCAACTCAAGCATACAATTTGAAGACTTCAAGATACTATGAGTTTCTACATCGGTCGAACTGAAAATTAATAAATAATCTTAAGGTAGCAGTGGTTAACCATGACATTTGAACGTTAAACACCTCAGTTCCTCTAATGACCATGGGTGCTGTAGTGTTTGAAACGTCGGGTATACAAAAAAAAGTAAATATACGTGATAAATACCTTAAAATCTAATTTTATTTCCATAAATAGGTGAAGCGACTAATTTTGTACGAAAAGCAAACTCAGTACAAGCGACTCTTGTGGGGTATATGTTTCGATTTTCTTACACAGCTTCACCAACCAGTGGGTGCTGTAGGAATTCTAGTTTACCTGTGTACCTATTGTATTACTCTTTGTGACTGGTTGCATTAATTATTGTATATACTATATAGAATAAATGTTTTGCACAGCTTTTGAGTTTACCATGAGCCACACCAGCTGCGCCCTAATCTTACTGTCGCGGATAATTCTTGATAGGCGCTTTAGTTGTTTTTACACAGTAGATGTTAGTCTAAACAGGATTTCCCACTTCGCTCGTTTGTGGATAATGTCGGTGTGTGAACAGATACAGTCCCCGGGATCTACTGTGTTGAAGTTTGAATACAGGTACAGCCAGTATAACACAGTACAGACAGTATAATTAAGGGCTAAGAGGCATTTAGTCTCAGTCCATAGTGTCCATGAGCCGTAGTAACCGCTATGCGAACTGTTTGCTCTCTTGTAATTTGATTTTATTACCTCGTCCTCATCAGTCAGTCCGTAAAAGAAATCATTAAGCTCAATTGTCGTCTAAATAGCTTCATTCAACACTTCATTCCCTATTTTTAAATACTTAGGTGCAAGAATTTTTCTTAAATTTTTTATGGAAGCACCCTGAAATATAACCTACTTAAGAAATAAAAATCAAAATTCTTTTATTTTCAAGAGTCCTATTACAAAGATTTTACTTACTTTACTTATTACTACTTGATTAAAAAAATCATCACAAACGATTCACTATTGACGAAGATACTATGGCGTAGTACCTTCTCTTTTTTGAAGTCACCTAAAAGAAAACTGGCCGTTAACATTGAATTTTAAATTAAAAATTATGATTTTTATAATGAATTTGTTAATCGTTAGCATAACAAACAGTTTTAATTTAAGCGTAAAATACTACTTAAATTAAATGCCGTTTTTGAATATAAATAAATCACAATTTAAATAGAACTAAACTGTCGTTAGGGCTGTACCAGCCAGACGTATATTTATCATCATTCATGCAGATTTACTTTAGAAATGTGTTGAAGACTCTCTATAAATCTATTTAAGCCACAACTTTGAACATTTTCATTTTAACGGTTAGTTTATTGTGACCACTTTTAATGTTTGTTTTACTTTTAAATACGATTTAAGGGTTATGACAGCGGCTCAGTAAAGAACTGGCTACGGCGTTGCAAGTTGTGGTTTCGATACTCCAACAAATAATTTAATTTCGCCCCGTGCCATTTATGTATGAAAAACGCTTCCATGATACAGGAAATTTCTAGTGTGAAAATAGTTTATAATCCGTTTTCATGAATAGAAATCTCGGGAATCTCATATATAAATTACTTGAAGCCGCATATTAATCATAAGAATTTTTTTTATTTATTATATCTTACACTTTATATAAAAGAAATCATAATCATCATTACAGTCTATCAAAATTAAACACATGCCTAACAAATTGCCTCGAAGGGAATATTTGTCATTAATGGCGTGCATGCCAAACAAAAATACCGTATAATAATTAAAAGCCTACCTA